CCGAGGAATCAACTCTCTCCGCGGTAAACGATTCTTCAGTGTGTTCAACTTGTTCCATTTCCGGTGACGTCACGCAACTCCACGTCAAAGCGTCGCAGAGAACCTCCTCCTGCATCACCGCGTCGTCCGCCGCCGATGCTCCCCACCTAAACAGCCGAAACGTCATTATCTGATGATATTAGTCGTAATGTTAAGAAGAAATACATATCTTGTTGTAAGTATTGTGTATTAAAAAAATGCAAGGCAACTTACTACAATCGCCTTTGAGCAAACATAATGCAAGTTTCGATATTCGTCTGTCGCTTTACTTCTCGATCTGTACATCGGCACTTCTTTAACATATCGCGCATTAAGTTGTGGACTTGCACTTCCCTTTTCGTAAATATAAAGTACGTGATATATATATTTATATATATATATATCTCGGTGCATAAATATCTCATAAAAGTGGTGTTGGACATTTTCACATATATCCAGAATTTGCCCCTCCAAAGTTTGTTAATTATCCGCTATTTTTCAGTTAAAAATGCATCGGTACATTTCGATCGGTGTCGATATCAATATTGCAACATAACACTAAAAACTAACATATTTCCCTGAGGAGCTGAGCTAGTCTCAATAGATTGAGCCTCCAATTTCCGTCGAAGTGTCACGTTGTACTCGTGAGAAATGCGAATGAATTCATTTAGCAAAAACATATGTCTTTATTTAGTATATTACATCGATCTTACGCTGTACATTGCATCATTCCGTGAAACAAAACAAATAGAAGATAACTGACATCGAAACTGACGAGGATCGTTCTCGAGGTTCGTAACTCTATGTTATTCAACCTTCGCTTGAAATGAAAAGATTGAATGAAAAGTAATCTCCATGTCACCCGATACTTCGATCGGCTGCAAATTATTTTAGTAGAGACGAATGACACATCGAATTCGAACTTCGCGGAAATATAGGCGTACTTTACAATCGACCTTGTTGCGCAAATAATATTGGAAGACTTAGATGCAGAAGCGAAATGTAATTAAACGACGAGCGAATCAAGCTTGACGTATTCGTGAGGAATCAAAAATTAAGCTGTATGGAGTATCGAATAATCTCTATCGCAATATCAGATCATATCTCACCTGCGGTCTATTTACATATTGTTGACGAACGGAGAGGTAATCTCGGCCCCATCTCTATTCGCACTCACACATCAATATGACTCATGAATCTAAGTCAATTCGAATATCATTTCGAGCACAGGAGTGTGCACTTTCGAGAATTAAATCCTCCGGTTTCGAAATTCATTACGTCGCAGGACGACATCGCGAGTCCTTGCTACGCCGCTTCGTAAGCGGCATCCGGAATCGCTCAGATCTCGTTACCTTACACGGGGAAAAAGACCGGTGGTATTAACGTGACAATGGACAAGACAAATGTGTTTTAGCTAAAAGAAACAGAATTTCTAGTTCTTACGAACTAAATCCGGTTATAAGAATCAGAAATTACGTTTCTTTTAACCAAAACACATTTGGTCCCTTTTAGAAGCTTTTCTTCTTTTTCCTCCGTGCACGTCACAGAATCACCACGTGTGAACGGTATTTACAATACACGTTGCTGCTCACCACTTCACGCGTCGTCCGCTTACTTGAGAAAGATACAAAAGTCGCCCACACGATGATTCTCTCTCTCTCTCTCTCGGCGTGTCTCTAACCGCTCACCAGCGTGGTGCATCTGATCACACACCCACGATCTACTTGCCACTCTTGTTCACGATAATCTTGTCTTGCACACCGTGCAGGAGATTCGTGATCTTAATGGGCGGCGGCGGCGGATGCACACCCGGGTGCTTCTTCCGGTGGAGCATCATGGGCGACCGCTGGGTGAAACTCTGGCCGCAGATGTCACAGACGTAAGGTCGCTCGCCGACGTGAGTCAGCAGGTGGATCTTCTGCGAGCTGAGGCAGCCGAAGGTCTTGCCGCAGACCGCGCACAGGTACGACTTCTCGCCGGAATGCGTCCTCAGGTGCTTCGTGAGGCCGTACTTGAACTTGAACTCCATACCGCACTGTTCGCACACGTACTTCATCTTGTGCAGCTCGCCGTGGCTCTCGAGATTCTTCTGGGTCTTGAAGCGCTTCCGGCAGATCTCGCATTCGAACTCCTTCACCTTGGTCTTATGCTTGTAGTGCTTATGGAAGTAAAGCGAGCTCTTGCTCGGGTAGGAAGTGCCGCATATGTCGCACACGCAGGACTCCGTGTCGTGGTCCTTAATGTGCGTGGTATAGTCGGACTGCACCTTGAACATCTTACCGCACTGCTCGCACCGGAAGTTGTAGTCCTCCGTGTGCTTGCGGATGTAGTGAATCTTCAGGTATGGTTTGGTGCGCGCCTTGAAGTCGCACAGGGTGCACGCGTGCAGCTGCGCCGGCTCGTCGTGGATCTCCATGTGCCTGGAAAGATACGCACCGGTTTTGAAGCCCTTCGAGCAGATCGCGCACTTGTGCGGCCGCGAGTTACTGTGCTTGAACATGTGACTAGTGAGCTTGCTCTTGCGGTCGAAGCTGATGTAACAGATCTGGCAGATGTGGGACTTCTTTTTCTTCGGCAGGCCGCTCGTGTATTTGCGCACGGCCGAGCGCACTTTCACGAGCTCGTCCTTCTGCCGTTTCCTAAAGTCCAGCGGCGCATCGTCCAGGTCGTCGAAGTACTCACTCACGGGCTTGCTGCGTTTCCTGGCCTCTCGCTCGAGCACGCGACGGTTCTCCTTTTGTTTCCTGCCGGCCTCATTCGCCGGGGACTCGCTCTTTTCGGAATTATCTTCCAGCACGGTGAACGACGACGATTGTTGTTGCTTCTTCATGAACACGCTCAACGACTTTGGGATGCGATAATAATCGTCTTCCACTTTCACTACCAGAACATTCGTCGACAGTGGGTCTAGTTGGTTGCACCTAAAAAAATTATACAAATTATCAGTCGGTTTTTGGCGCGACAATGTGGCGATATATGGCGGTCGTGCTGGTTGCACATAAACATGCATCAGTGCACTTCAGCTAAATGACCCGATAAACAAGAAGCAAAGCTGAAGAACACCGCGAGAATAACTTCAATATTTTCTTTTTTGCAAACATCTCTCCTTGAATACGTGATCGTTACTGAAATTACGACTCTGTTCCTGAGGCGAAATTGAATAATTCACGTTTTCAGCGGGAAATGCGCGTCGCTCCGTTGTAAAAATTACTCTTTGCATCGTGGAAAAAGGCATCTGAGAATCGTTCCTTTTCACCCGTATGGACAAACGAGATTGTATATTTCTATATCACAGCCAGAATATAAAACATCGTGTGAAAACTTTATTTCTGCGACAAATGTAACAGTTGAGTATATTATCGCTTGTCTTTGCGGTTTATTATATTTTAACATTATTATATATATATATATAATATATATGTGTATATATATATATATATATATATATAATGAGCAGACATTCTTAACGAAAATGTTTCACCAGACACTCTCTCCCTCTCTCTCTCACGCTCATAACACACACTCATAAATGATAACTTATATCTCTCTCCTCAAAGAAACAATTTTTCGACCACATTCATGCAATAACCTTACTGCTTGAACAAACATGGTCCAACTCGATAAAAAAAAAAAAAGAACTTTTTAAATTAATCTGACACGTTCGATATATTATTTAACAAATTGTTAAATTAACTCGCAACACAGATACCGCAATGTCAACATTAGACGCGCGAGTCACGTCATCCACGTCTCTCTGTACACTCTCTGTGCACAGAATCGACGACGCCGAAAGAGAAAGTCTCAAGGTGAACATTAGCGCGCGCTTTCACCCCGAATGAACGAGATTCTGCAAAACGTTCTGCACGAGTTGCGTTATCGAGACTGACGCGAGCGGCGGCAAGGTCCCGGGATGATTCTTCCGGTGCCTCATGAGACTAGACCGTTGCGTGAAGTCCGCCTCACAGATGTCGCACTTGTACGGGCGCAAGCCGGCGTGGCTCAAGATGTGTGTGCGCAGAGTCATCTTGGAGAAGGTCTTGCCGCATATCTTGCACTCGTCCGTGTTGTTCTGATGTACTCGCCGGTGGCGCGACATCTCGATAGGCCCTTTGCACTGTTGGCCGCAGTCTTGGCATTGGATGACCTCCTGGTGCATCAGCAGGTGATTTTCCAGCTTGGTCTGACTGGTGAACACTCGGCGGCAGAGGTTGCAGGAGAACTTCGGGCTACGCTTCTGCAGGTGCTTCCTCATGTGGCACTTGAGGTACTTCACCGTACGGCCGCAGACGTCGCAGATGTGCCGGTCGGTCGAGTGCGCGTTGTTGATGTGCACGAAGATGTCCGACTTGAGTCTGAACTGCTTGCCGCAGTAGTCGCAGATGTACCTCTTCTCGTCCGTGCTGTGCGAGCGGATCTGGTGGCGCTGCAGGCCTAATCGCCTCTGAAACTTCAATCCGCAGGTCACGCACTCGTGCACCTCCGTGTGCGTCTTCTTGTGGATTTTCAGCTGATACGGCATGGCGTACGACTTCGGGCAGAGGTTGCACTTGTAGGGTCGCTTATGGAACTTCTCCACGTGCTTCTCTAGCAACGTATCGTTCGAGAAGCGTTTGTCGCAGGTGGGGCACACCCCGTGCAAATTGTCCAACATCCGGTCGACGTAGTCGATCTGCTCGGTAGCCTCTTCCCCCTCCGCGAGCGGCTCTTCGTTCAGCTGTTCTTGCTTCTTGACAAAGTGTTCTGGAAGAAAATGACCGCTTGACAGGTCCGATCGGACTCTCTGCGTGCGTATCGGTCTCTGCGATCTTACTCGCGTGAGCTGTCGGGGATTATTGACATGTCGCTTCTTTCGTTAATTACCTAAAAGCAAGACAGGCTTGGTCCTCTCCGCCACTCTCGAACCTTTTCGTATGGAATACACTTGCACATCCACTTTTCGATACTTATGATCGTCCGACGCGTTGGTCCATCCATCCCTGAAACATCGATGAATTTAGTGAGCGATAGAAAAAATAGTGCCGATAAAGTGCATTACGTACGTAAGTCAGTTACAGGTATTACGACAATCACTTGAAAATATAACGGTACGTAAAAACTCTTTCTTTCCGATATGAAGTATGTATCTGTAATTAAAACTCTCCAATTTTTCTAAGAAAAAAATGATAAATAAATAAGCGTAAAATTGAACGAAAAAGTGTCATAAAGATGTTTCTCGGCAAAACAAGAATATATCGCACAAATAAAAGTTCATCCATATATAGCACTTACTTTTCAAAATATTACAAAACAAAAATCATAAGTGTTCTTGAGATTATTATGTGTCAAACACCAATCGTTGTTACTCATTAAACAGGAATTCGAATTTTGCTTCACACAAAACTCCATACTGTCATTCAATGTTTCTACACTAAAAGCGCTACGTAATAATCGATATTGTTACACTGTTTATTTATATGTAAAATATTTCTCTGTATTTACGTGGTGCAAACATTCCTGAGCAAATCGGCGGAAGTGTTCGTCATTCAATGAGTCCAAGTAAAATGATAGTGATAATTTTATCAATATGCAATTTTATTTAAATATACTTATACTTGTCGAATCGTTGTGTTCGGTTTCCACGTTTCTCATAAAGTCTTATCACTTAGTCAGGAAATTCACACAAAACGGAGATTCTCCATGGAACCTACTGAGATTTCGCGCGTGCGTATATATATATATATATATATATATATATATATATATATATNCATGGAACCTACTGAGATTTCGCGCGTGCGTATATATATATATATATATATATATATATATATATATTGACAAAAAATAATACAGAAAAAATACCAGAGACAAATCGAGCTCATTAAAGTCAATGAAGAACTCAACAATTCTTCACTGTTATTCATATCAGTCGGATGCACGGCGGTAACTTCTCCGTCACGCGACATCAATAGAAGTTACTGCAGGCTCGTTTGCAGGACGATATAATAAAGAAAATACAAATCAACACTTTTGGGATGATCACAAAACGCGCGAATCCGTCGTCTGGAAGAGGATCGGTCAGCACATCGGATAATATACATTTTTCCGTAAAAATGTACACGAATGCCATGGTCCTCCGTACTCGCTATTATGGCAACAGTGGTAATACAAATGTACAAGTGTACTTCGCGCTGAGAGAGAAGAGGGTCATTGATAGCTTCACGTTCCGCACACACGCGTCACCTGGTGCGCGAGACAAGGCACCGTCCAAGCTCACGCTGACGACCGCGCATCTACCACCAGACTCTTGTCGATGTCTTCGCTCTGCACCTTCTGCAAGTAACTCCTGGCGAGCTTGGCTATCTGCGGATGCGCCGCCTGCAACGGCGGCAGCGGCCCCTGGTGATGCCTCCGGTGTCGCAGCAGGCTGGACCGTTGCGTAAAGTCCTCCTCGCAGATGTCGCACTTGTACGGCCGGATGCCGGCGTGCGTGAGCACGTGCTGGTAGAAATTGCTGACGGAGGTGAAAGTCTTCTGACAGAGGATGCAGGTGGAGATGCTGCCGTGGCCGTGTTTGAAGCGCCGGTGGCTGAGGAGCTCGCGCGTCCCCACGCACTCCTTGCCGCACTCGTCGCACTTGAAGCCCCTCTCGTGCAGCTTCAGGTGGCTGTCCAGCCGGCTGCGGTGGAGGAACTTCTTGCGGCACAAGTGGCACGGGTATTCGTACTTGATCTCGCCCTGGCTGCGCCGCTGGTGCCGCCACTCGTGGCCCTTCACGTCCTTGACCGCCTTGCCGCAAAAGCGGCAGATCTGCAGCTGCGACGAGTGCGTGCGCTTCACGTGGTGCGTAAGGTCGATCTGCAGCTTGTAGCCGCGGCCGCAGTGCTCACAGATGTAGCGCGACTCGTGTTCGCTGTGGTTGCGCATGTAGTGCCGCTGGAGCCCGTGCACACTCTTGTAACGCACGTGGCAGATGTCGCACTCGAAGAAGTAGTCTGGCCGATGTATCCGCTTGTGTTCGATCAGCGCCCGCTGCGTGTAGCACGACTTCGCGCACTTGTCGCACTTGTACGGCTTCCGGTGCACGTACTTCACGTGGTTCTCGACCTTCTTCGCGCTGTTGAAGCATTTGTCGCAGAAAGGACACGTGTTACGTATTCTGTCGAGCGCCTCGTCCACTTCGGTATGCTCTTTCTGCGAACTCGGCGAGGAGTCCGATCGTCGTTGTTGCCGCTGCAACGTCGGGCTCGCTTCCGTGACGGCGGGCGAGTCGGCGGTCTGTTCGTACGCCGTGAACTCTTCCGACGAGTGTTGCGAGTCCAACGGCGAATCTACGGCGACCGTTTCGATCGCGTCTTGACATTGCACTCGGGCGGAACTCACCCTCGCAATTTTTCCGTTTGTGGGACTATCTCCGAGGACGGACTTCCATGAGCCCAATATTACTAAACGAAGACCTCCCCCACGCCTTTCTCTCTGCCTGATGATAGGCTTTCCTCTGCAACAAGGATAAATTGTATCAGCATAAAATACGGGTACTGTTTCTTTTTTTTTTCTTGTTTTTTCAGCGGATTGCAATAATAGGGGGCCTACAAGCGCCGACGCCAGGTTCGAGTGCGCAGAATAGTTATTTTGACTTTTCTCGAGCATAAATTCGAACACCGGTCAACGCACAGATGGTTGTTACATGAGAAAATAGCTTCCTAATTCTAATCCTACGCATAGCCGTGGAACGACAGAAGTGTTATTCGTACATATGCTGTGAGAATATCAATACTGCTGTCATCGCATTGCGATATCATAAGATGGCGCGTCATCCCAACAGTCTTTATTGATCACCAGGAAACTCGTACAAACATATTAACGTTCGTTAACGTTACAATTTTCACATCCTCTGGGGATTACTAATCACCTAACCACATATCCTGAAACAAGTATTCGTTATTATTTGATCGATACATCCGTATTATTAATAAGAATACGTAAGTAATAACGTTTATAACAACATACACTTACTCTAACGTTGTAAAAAAAAAATGGAGTCGGTCTCTTTGAACAATTGAGATAACTGTTGCGCAACAAGGATAACACCACGCATAATTCTTAGAAAATTAAGTTACGACGCACACGGACTATTACATTCGAAGCAATAATTTATTAATAACTGCGAAGGAAAGAATTCTGCGTCTTTATTTATATGCAGCGGATTCACCGGAAGTCCGCAATTTCAGGTCAGCTTTTGGTAACGAGCGTGCTGCGAGTATACGATCTGGTGTGCAGCACGAATTTTAATTATTATAATTTTTTCAGACTTTAATTGCAAAATTCGGCTCTGTACAGGGCTAAGTATATTCACGAAAAAGACACTTCAGAAATAGTTTAACGAGTAAATATGATTTTTCCAAGCGAATATAACATTACAGTTGCAACGCTAAATGTAGCCTAATAACATTTCAATACTTTTTGATTTTTTCCTTATTTCAATGACCTTCCATTGAAAAAACGGCCAATATATTATGCTAAATAATTATTGAATCAAGTTCTAACCGAAATATCGGTCTCGAAAAGACTCCGCAAAAATTCGCGCGAACTTATAAAGAGGGCTGCGAAATTAGCGAATAAATCGATATGAACTTTCGGCAGTCGTCAGAGGTTAAGGCCGTGACATAGTAGATCAAAAATATCGATTTATTCGTTGTCAAATGTTCGAGAGAGATTTAGGTCGCTACAGCCGGCTCCGCCGCGAATTGAGATCCGCAACCGACGCGTCAATCGTTCATCTCAAAAGATTCGCGGATAAGCCGAATAATGCAGATTTGAAGTTTCTGATCGGATCTAATCTCAGATATCCGGATAGTCATTTATCAGAGTACTCAGGAGCCCTATATAGAGCAACCCGGCAGATTGGAATTCTCACGAGCGAGCGGCGGGCAGAAGCGTGCGTCGCAGGTGTGTTTTCTCGAGAATGCCGTTTCATACGTTACGTCCTGGGATCGCTAGCTGTCTAGGAACAAGTCTCGTGTTCTTCAGCTTCCGACGCACTCCTTAATTTTGCATAAATTTTTCGCCAAATCGGCAATGTGCACCTGCGACTTGTAGACCGGCAGCGGGCCGGGATGATTCTTCCGGTGTCGGAAGAGACTCGAGCGCTGTGTGAAGTCCTCGTCGCAGATGTCGCACTTGTACGGCCTGATGCCGGCGTGCGTGAGCACGTGCTGGTAGAACTTGTTGCCCCGCGAAACGAACACCTTGTTGCAGATCGGGCAAGTCATGCCGGGCTTGTGCATGCGGTCCTTGTGGTACTGCAGCTTATTGGCCGAGGTGACGACGACGTCGCACTCGGTGCACTTGTAGCCCTTCTTGTGCATCAGCAGGTGATTGTCGAGGCTGGTCTGATTCTGGAACTTCTTCACGCACAGGTGGCAGGAGAGCAGGCTGGCCTTCCTCGCCTGTAACTTGTGATACTTCTCGTGCCCGTGCAGATCCCTCACGGACTTGCCGCAGTAGCGGCATATGTGTACGTCTTTGTTGTGTTTCCTGCTGATGTGCATCAGCAGGTCGATCTTCACCTTGAACGCCCGGCTGCAGGAGTCGCATGCGAACTGGGCGGCCACGTCACTGTGCGCCCGCGTCAGGTGGTGCCGCAGCGAGATCTTCTGCTTGTATTTGCGGTGGCACACGTCGCACTCGAAGAAGTAGTCGTCGCTATGGCTTCTCCGGTGCTCCTCCAGGCTCTGCTCGGTGTCGTAGGACACGCGGCACTTGTTGCACTTGTACGTTCTTCGCTGGTGAGTCTCAATTATGTGTCTCTTCAGACTCTTTACCTGAACGAAGCGCTTCGAGCAGAACGGACAGGTGGTCGTTGAGTGATACTGCTCGTCGTCCAACACTCCGTCCACGTATTCGTCCACGTAGTCATTCTTTTCGTACTCCAGTGAGCCTTCGGCTGACGGCGTTGCCGCTCTAGGCTTCGTCTTTTCTTTTCCACTTAATGGATCTTCATTCGCTTCTCCTTCTGTATTAGGTTCCCCTCCTGTTTCGCTATCTTCCTGCTTTTCTCGTTTGACGAACAACAACGGTTTGTTGTTTCTTATATAGTCTCTCTTTTCTCGGCCGACACTTTCCTCGAGCTCTCGGGAAGGTACTTTGGGGAAGGGAATTAGCTTCGTGCAGGCGGCGCCGGTGGATATCACAATCACTTTCCGGTAATTACCACGGCTCCACTTGGCGGTCTTCTTTTGTTGTAATCTGAAACATTCATTAATTTCAATCAGTACGAACGCAGAGTGGCGGTCACGGCAGTCTCTGTCGAAGTTTAGGATCCCTGTGGTGTTCACGAAAAACAGCAATGAAAGCACTCGCTCGACCAATCGGTTCTCTTTTATGCGCATTGCGATTGTATTGTCCAAAATTGTACAGGCATGTTTCCAGAAAATCAAACAGCGAGGCGCGATCCTCGTTCATTAACACACATTGCAAACACCGACATACTTTTAGCACAGATCGTCGTATTAAGGAACACCCAAGACGAATTCACTTTGTCTCCGTAATGTTCTCTCAACGAGCGCAACAGCTACAAGGCACAGGAAGGTTTGCGAGTGCTGGCGTGCTTCCGCAGACCGAGACGAAGCTCTTGCTGCAACGGTCGCAATAATGATGCTTTGGCGTGTCTCTCCTGTGTCATCCTTAGCGACACCCTGTTCGTCGACATTGCTTCTTGCTCTTTTCCCTGCCCGATCGTGCTTAGTGGACCCTCCACCGTCACGTTGGGATCTACCGGTGATCGTGTGCGATCTTGTATTCCTCTTGGTCGTGTCCGGTCTTGAGAGCTCGTCCTGTCAACACTTGGACCTTGATAGTTCTGTAAGCAATAACAGATATACATGAGCTTTCAACGTGCTATACGTCAAGTCACATTTGCCAAATCGCTCGGCTGACACACCTCCCTCCGATGACCGGCTCGGCTGACTCTCTTACGAGGATATCAACAGCCCAAGGACTAATCTGATTCGTAGCGGCAGAGGTGTTGAGGGGAATAGTGAGGCTCGTTCGTTTCGATACTGAGGAATCAGTTTAATCGACAATGACAAAACAGCTCCGCAGTCATACATTCTTTTCTGATGTACGAATGATTTTTATTAAACGTATAATAACGAATATCGTCAATGATAATTAACATAAGCTTGTCGATGCGTTTATCCGTCATTTGAACGATGAGCTAGCCTGCAGCAGTTGCGTGGTCCTCCGTCCGTAGAAAATTAAAAAAAAAAAAAAGAAAAGTAAACAGAAAAAAGGAGGAAGAAGACGAAGAAGATAAAAAAGAAAAGATAGAACGAAAAAAAGAAACGGAATATCGTTCAACAACATTGGCATCGGCTTCGGCTTACAAAGTTATATCCTTATCTACACTGAAAAAATAGAACAACAATATTCGTAACGGAACAGCTTGAGCACGAGAATAGTACAAATGTGTGATTCACGACGCGAAACGAATAGAATAGATCATGCGCGCGGCGGTCCTCCCGGCCTCACGTTCCACAGCGCGCGCTGTACCACCGCCTTCTCTTCTTTTTTGTTCACGCGAGTGTTACAATCAGTGTACAAAAGATATTCGCAGCAATTTGTCGGACGTCGACGCGACTGATGAACGTTTACCGCTAGAACCAACAAATATCGCGAAACGCGGCACTTCGTCGATATCGCTCTTCATGTGTATGTATGTCTATATATATATATATATGTATATATATATATATATACATACATATATATGTATATATATATTCATATAGATTATATACTCATAATCTATAATAATTCAAGTAAGTTCTTCAAGTTTTTTTTCGCTGTCTTACGAATAGATTGCCGTTACGTCCCTGGTTAGCGACGCGCTGGAAAGCACGAGTTGTTGCACTAAAAATTTGGTCATCATAACTTAATTGCCGCGCGAGAGAGTCAACGTGGAGTACATTCATGCAGCGTACACTCGCTCGCTCGCTCGCTCATCTCTCTCTCTTCCTTTAAAGCACTCTCTCATCATCAACTCATCAGTCAACAAGACGCGAAGTCCGCTCACTCCGGCACGGCAGATACCGGCTGTCCGTCGAAGGTCTTTACAAGCACGTGGTTTTCTGGTGGGCCGTCAGATTGCCCTGGCAGGAGAAGCCGCGTTGGCAGATCTGGCAGACGTAGGGCCGTTCGCCGGTGTGGCCGCGTCTGTGGATGGTCAAAGTTGACCTCTGCGAGAACGCTTTCGGGCACTGGTCGCACTTGTAGGGTTTCTCGCCGGTATGCACCCGCCTGTGCATCCGCAGGTTCTCCGAGTCGGTGAAGCCCTTGCCGCAGATGTCGCACACGTAGGGCTTCTCTCCGGTATGAATCCGCCGATGCTTCTTCAGGTGTTCCGCGCTGCTGAGGCTCTTACCGCAGTAGTCGCAGAGGTAGAGCTTCGTGGGGTTGTGACTTTCCTTGTGTCGGAAGAGCGACCTCTTGGTGGCGAGCACGCGGCCGCAGATGTCGCAGGCGGTGCTGGTCACCTTATTGGCTTTGAGCTCCGGATGGTTGCGCCGACAATGGGCCGAGAGCTGCCGGCGTAGATAAAATGCATTGTTGCAGAGCTGGCAGACGAACGGCTTCTCGCCCGAGTGTATATTGTAGTGCTCTTGCAGGTCGAGCTTTTTCCGGAAACGTTTGTCGCACTCGTTGCACTTGAACGGCAGGTCCGCCTTGTCCGTGTGCCGCAGCATGTGTATGCTCAAGGCCGCCAGCACGGTGGTTTCGTAGTCGCACTCCTTGCACATGTAGCTCGGGTAGAAGTGCGTCTTCTCGTGCCTGGTCAGATCGCGGAACAACCGGAACTTCTTCGGGCAGTGTTTGCAGGTGAGGTCGCCAACCGTGTGGCGCAGCAGGTGCTTCTGGTAGTTGCTTTTGTGCCGGAACACCTTATTGCAGGTCTTGCAGAGGAACTCCGGCAATTCGGGTTTCTCGTTCTTCACCTTCTTCAAGGACGCGGCCCGGCCGACCGTAGCGCTACTTTTGCCGCCGGCCTTGCGGTTGCCCTTACGCACCGAGTGTTTCTTCATATGCTGCCGCAGACTAACGCCCGTCCTGAACACCCGGCCGCACTGTGCACACGTGTTCTTTCGCTTACCCTTGTGCTCGATCTCGTGATTCTCCAGCAAGGACTGCGAAGCGAAGAAGACGCCGCAGATCTTGCAGTGATACGCCAACGGTAGATCGTCGTCCTCCTCCACATCGTGAATCTCCTCCTTTATGCCGACACCTTGCTCGGCGTTCATCGTCACCGTCGCCGTCGTAGTCGTGCTCGTCGTTGTCGTCGTCGTCATCGTCGTCGTCGTCGTCGTCGTGGTCGTCGAAGGAGCCGAGGTCGTCGGCTCGCTCGCATCTGTTGCGCCTTTCGGACACTTCGACGGCGAGGTTTTCTCCGGTTCGCTGTTCTTCTTCACCAGATCGAGCTGATTGGCGAACATCGCCATCGGGTAAAACTCGTCGGTAAACTCTAGCTGGTTGTACCTGGAATGGAAAAATTCAGAGGTACATTAGTATCGAGCATCCTCGCGCCACGTCGCAAGATCTTTCTTTTCATTCGTCCGGTCTCGCCGTCTAGCACATTATTCTACCCCTGTAAGCGAAGTCTTCGACCGAATTTGTGTAGCGGGTCGTTTGTAATAGCGTCAACAAGTTCGGGCAGATCGGATAAAAATATCGCCGTCGTCTTTCTCTCTGCTTGAGAAGATACATCGTCGTGTAATACTCGAGAAACGTGTGTGTACACTTGAGTGCAGAGACGGGCACTCGAAACATCAATGCGAAAATCACCGGTGTGTGAGAAAACAGCTGTGGGTGTGATCACGCGGTTTCTCTCTCGCAGCAACATTTTATTCATTACAGTAATACATAATGCAGGGGTAAACCCCCCGGTGACATGGAGTCGATTGCCGCTCTCCGGCCGCATTATTCCGTGTAAAAAATGAAAGACATCGCATACATTCT